TATAAAATAATTAGTGGTAAGACCTTGTGAGTGGCTTACGATGTTTTCATCACCACTCTTGACACACTAAACCACAATATTTAAGAGGTAAGAATTTTAAACTTGGTGGTTTAGACGACCCCCTAACTTTGAGCAGATTTTTTTAATGTTCAAATTTCGTCTTATAGGCCGTGATATACGGTATATATATATATATATATATATATATATATATATATATATATATATATATATATATATATATATATATATATATATAAATATATATATATATATATATATTTATATACATATATATATATAATCAACGACCTCACCAGCAAGGAATCGAACCCTCGACCTACTGGGTGGGACTAGGGAACGCTTACCGGCTAGGCCACAAGGACACTAAAAGCAGTTCTAGACTTTGTTATATTTCACACAAAGCCTGTTCATCGAGCTGATGGCGCCGTGAACCTCATTGGGAACTGCCCGTGCCTCTTATGTGGTGTCAGTAGCATTTTACCGAATCCAGCTGGTATGAAACGCGAGGTACATATATATACTTCATTTTTAGTCCATATAACACGCGGACTTTGAAGATATAATCAACGACCTCACCAGCAAGGAATCGAACCCTCGACCTACTGGGTGGGACTAGGGAACGCTTACCGGCTAGGCCACAAGGACACTAAAAGCAGTTCTAGACTCTGTTATATTTCACACAAAGCCTGTTCATCGAGCTGATGGCGCCGTGAACCTCATTGGGAAACTGCCCGTGCCTCTTATGTGGTGTCAGTAGCATTTTACCGAATCCAGCTGGTATGAAACGCGAGGTACACATATATACAGTGGGGTATGCTATAACGAACGGATCCTACTACGAATATTCCTATAACGAACGGTTTTACCTATAAAATTGAGAATTCTATAACGAACGAAACTCCTACAACGAACATTATTTAAATTTTTTTTTTCTAATTTATTGTTTTTTTTATTACAAATATTAATGATATTCTTTATTTCAGGGGTTTAGATGCATATTTATGCACTTTTTTACAATTTTTACAATTTTATATTATATTTTTCAGTGTTAAGTGGTTGTATTTGGGGGCCTGGAACGGATTAATCCTATAACGAACGAATGCTATAACGAACAAGGTTCTAGAACCAATTAGATTCGTTATAGCATACCCCACTGTACTTCATTTTTAGTCCATATAACACGCGGACTTTGAACATATGGACTAAAAATGAAGTATATATGTGTACCTCGCGTTTCATACCAGCTGGATTCGGTAAAATGCTACTGACACCACATAAGAGGCACGGGCAGTTTCCCAATGAGGTTCACGGCGCCATCAGCTCGATGAACAGGCTTTGTGTGAAATATAACAGAGTCTAGAACTGCTTTTAGTGTCCTTGTGGCCTAGCCGGTAAGCGTTCCCTAGTCCCACCCAGTAGGTCGAGGGTTCGATTCCTTGCTGGTGAGGTCGTTGATTATATGTTCAAAGTCCGCGTGTTATATGGACTAAAAATGAAGTATATATATGTACCTCGCGTTTCATACCAGCTGGATTCGGTAAAATGCTACTGACACCACATAAGAGGCACGGGCAGTTTCCCAATGAGGTTCACGGCGCCATCAGCTCGATGAACAGGCTTTGTGTGAAATATAACAGAGTCTAGAACTGCTTTTAGTGTCCTTGTGGCCTAGCCGGTAAGTTCCCTAGTCCCACCCAGTAGGTCGAGGGTTCGATTCCTTGCTGGTGAGGTCGTTGATTATATGTTCAAAGTTCCGCGTGTTATATGGACTAAAAATGATATATATATATATATATATATATATATATATATATATATATATATATAAAACTGTGCACTTAACATTTCCTGTGTCATTGAACTATCAACTTTGGGACATCAGACCATATAAAATAAAAACTTTCTCAGCTCAAGAAAAAATATCAAATTCAGTCCAATATAAATCCTAATAAATACGCACAATGAGATTGTTGTTTGTTTCTTGACAATGTAAACAAAGACAGCAGATGCTCCGGCATGTGAACCAAAACTTGGTCACTACAGGAGATCCAATAGTGCCATAAATACAGTAAATATTTAATTTTTTTTGCCTACAAAGAACATAGAAACATAAAATTACTGCTGTATGATCAGTGTTCACAGTGTTTTTACCCTGTTATTTCCCTCTTCTTTCATGCCCTCTCAACTAACATGTAATTTATAATTGAAGGATAGACCAAAAAGAAAAAAAAAGATATTAAAATGCTGTTGCTTTGATTTTGTTATTCACCATCATCTAAACAACATCTGAAAATTGGGTGCAATTCCATAGATTCCTTCTGGTGCTAACGGTCTCTTCCACCTTTACCTTGGTATTTTATTTTTGCCTTTACCTTCTTTGCCACTCATCAGCCCATTAGCTGCTTGGTAGGGTAGTCACATCTCTGTTAAGCACTGTTGGCAAATACTGGGCATGCACTGGTTCCTGAATGTATTTGTACCTGTGTCAGTGTTGGTCAAGTCTGCTCTTGAATGAGCTCACACTCGGTGCCGTTACAACACTCTCTGACAGATTGACCAAGAGTTCACAATTCTCACTCCAAAAAAATTTGCCCTCACAATTTTCTGGACTTGTGGTTTCTTCAACCTTGAGCTGTGACCCCTTGTGTGGCGGGCATCTGCCAGCTGCTAAGATTCAATGCATGAAGTGTTAGAGGATGCATCTGGGTAGTACCAATGGTAAGGAGGCATATCATAAGTCCCAATGGGACGAAGAAACTGCATTAATAGAGACCGAATGCAAAAAGGACCTGGGTGTGTATGTTGACAACGACCTGAAGTCCTCTGGCTATTGTGAGAAGGTGAATCAAGCAACTAAACTAAACTACAGTATGTATTTCCATGCTAACCTGACCCGTAAGCCATGCCCCTTGTCTATAGCTACAAATAGCTGATTGGTTCAAAGAAAATATTCATGTAGCTGTCCATTTATTCAAACTAAATGTGTTCACTATTGGTAAGCAGACCTGTTATTCTCTAAAATAAATGTTAAATAACTGGACTATCAAAATGCAAATGATTTCAAGGCATTAGCACTTCAGAGAGGATGTTAGAAAATTTTAAATGTTTACTCGGTATCATAAAAGGTCGAGGTCAAAGATGAAATTCGCTTTCGAATGAAGTCTTTTCATATTTCTTTGATTTGTGCCAAAAATTAAACTAACAGACAAATGATACCAAACATATTTTTTATTTATTTTTTTTTATGGGATTAGCCCACCAGGGCACAGGTCAATGACCCACATCAGGGCTTGGAGGCAAAATAATAATAATAATAATATAAATTAGTAAAAAAAAAAATATTAAATAAAAATATAATACAGTACCCTGTACTATCCGGGTTGATTGCGTTACAGCACCTCCTTAGGTGCTGTATGTTACGGGCTAGATTACAGGCTCACTTACGGAGTCCGCTGCCAAATATTTGTTTTGAGTATACCGATCGGAAACTGTAAGTCAAGTTACGGGGTAAGCAAAGGGATATAGTCCCGTAAATGTTTTTGAGTATGCGGCCCCTGTACGGTATAGAAATTTGGCTCCTGTTTCTTGGATTAATATTTACTTGACTCGTATCCCCCACCAATCAAACCAACTGCCTTCCCCCTTTTACGATAATTTCTTATTATGTACATATCCTTCTAGGACCCAACATGAAGGTGAACCATAATCTACAGTAATTATTGAATTTATTCAATTACTATGTCTGAGTCACAAGTTTTTACCTCTAAATTGCTAAGTAAATGGTGTTCCTCAGTTTTGATATATGATAGTCTATAAAAAGTCCCATATTCATTCATCATTTCCATGTAAGTCAATTCACAGTCATATTTTAACAAAGATTCACAGCACTGTACTAAATTTTACATAAGGTGTGAAATGTACCGGTATGTGAACATTTTAATCTGTTGTTTTTGTGCACAGATGAGAGTTAACATGGGTAATGTTACATTGAGACTGTTCTGTATCAAAAACCACCAGGGGCGTATATTCAGGGTGTGCTAGGTGTGCTCTGCACACCCACAGAAGTCATGAAATAATGATTTAATACTTTTATTTTATGTAAATAAATATACAGTACGTACATGACATTTTACATGTACAGTATTAACACAGTGTTAACCTCAACTGTTGTTTCTTGGCTTTCCTGTTGGCTTGCGATTAGCTGCAGAGCCTGCAGTTGAGCGGAGCTGTCACCGCACACTTTGGGTAGTAGTATCAGAACGGAGGGGATAGGGGTACCAAGGCGGGGAGGGACGGGATTTATAGCGAGTGAAGTCGAGCGGCCAGCCAGTAGCCCCCAGCCCGCAGCGAAGGAAGCGTTGCTCTGTACTTCGTTTCTGTTTACTGTGAATGTGAAAATATATTTCTTTGCTTTGATTTACATAGTATTTAAAGCTCACTGTGCATTTTAATTTAGATACTTTAACATCATTTTCACCCTTCTTACACAATGGGAAATACAATACTGTTGAAAAAATTTACTCACGGAATTAAGACAAAGAGGCTCTTTTTATGATGACGTTATGATGCAGTTTACATCGCAAAAAAGAAGAATACACAGTATAACTAATGTATAAATAAAGTGGGTAAGTATAATATATTTTTGTTTGAATTGCACTGCTAATGTATGTACACTTCTACAATAATTTTCTTCTATTTTGCATTTCTCTGTGCTGTTTATATGCATAGTATACTACCTTTTATAAGTATGTAATTTACTTTATGCAACTTAAAGTTTAGTCTTTACCTTATTATAATGCTCAGCACACCCTGTTTCAATACCCACCATACGCCACTGAAAACCACTACTCATTTTTTTAGCACATACCTCTAACATTTTTCTCTTACAGATGTCATCAAAATATACTACTGTACATGCTAAAGAGATCTACAATCATGTTATTAAAAAATGTTAAGTGAAAAATATATTACTTCAGGTATATGCTATCCGTGAGGCTGTAAGCTTACATGAGAAGAGCAAAGGCAAGACTAAAGAAGGTGCTAATGATCCAGTTACAGATGGTGACATACAGTCTCACTTGACTATGTATTACTCCCTCAAGAAAGCTTTTCCTTCGCTGGAGGTAAGGAGAACTACGATCAAATCTTAAAACATTTATAATGTTTTCCAATTCTATTCATCTTATTCTTAGCCCCAGTGTTAGCTTTACTTATTGGAAGCTAATATTGGACAATTACTTTTTTCCACAAGTTAATTTTTCTACACCAGGTTATAAATACATAAGTTTTTCCTGGCCAGCTTAACATTATTGTTCTATCATGCTCTTTCAATATACACTGTATCCTTAATTTACCCATTGCCTCATGCATTGCTCACACACACTTATAAGTTTTCTTCCCTACAATCATGCTTGGTATGGATAATGTTGAGAAGAAATTTGGAAATGTTACAAGATGTTCAGAGCCTGTAGGTATCGGAAGAGTGAAGCTTATGTCTGAAGTATACAGAGGAGAGGAAATGTAGCTCTGCATCAAGAAAGTGTAATGATTGATATGGTTCTTCAGTATTATGAATGGGGTAGTAAGAGGGGTGAAAGCATGAGTACTGAAAAGAGGAATAAATTTGGTGTACAGGATACTGTACCTGTACTGTAATAGTAGTAGTAGTAGTAATGTAGAAGGTGCAAATGGGAGGTAAAAGCATCTGCTGTTTGTAGAAAACACTCCCATGGTGAATGAGTGAAAGGAAAGTATGAATGTCTGGGAATGGGTTTTGAAGAGTGTGTACTAGGAGAAAGTTAAATATTGAATGTGAATAGATATGAATTGGTGAATGCAGATAAAAAATGGAGACTGAGAAATAAATGTTACTTTGAATGTGGATGGATTGTAGGAAGTACGATGTTAGAGATGTGTAGCAGTGGTTGTGTCAGGGATTAGAACAGTAACTGAGATGAAAAAAATCCTAGAAACTGTATTTATAGAAAAATGTTGAGAGAGAGAGAGAGGAAGAGAAAATTGTGAAATTAGGCAAATTATGAGATATACTGCAGAGAATAATTGTTGAGCCATCATTATTATGTGTGGGTGTGTGTGTAGAGCATGGACTCGATGCAACAGGAAGAAGTCGATTAGAAGCAACAGAATTTATTTATTTGAGAGCACGCACTGTAATATATTTGGTAAATGGGATACAGGGATGAAGTATAGAAATCAGATAGAGATGAGGAAATGAAGAGTTTCAGAGAGAGCAGACCAGGGTTTGTTAAGGTGGTATGAAGAAATAAAGATAGGGATAGAGTTTTTATAATTCAGAGGTAAATGGGAGCTCAAGATTAAGGTTGGAGGATGGAGTGAAGACAGTGCTTCAGTGGTAGTGAGGGGGGTGGACATATAGAAAGCTGCAGTGCCTGTGCATTATAGGAGAGCATGGCATTGAGTGGTTTATGGGGTTATTCAAAGCAGGGAGTGGATAAGGCAATTGAAAGGAGAGTTTTTGTTTTTTATTCTGACCACCTTGCCTGCATAATAAGACAACTCTTGTAAGGTTTATGAAATAAGTTTAAATTTCAACTCCCACCAAGGTGGCTTGGTGGTGGTCACCTGCATTATCTGGTCTAGGTGCAGTTCTTCAACTCATCCCGTCATACATGCATTGTGTCATTTGACCTTTCCGTTCAACTTGGGTACAATATTTCACAACTCCTTTTGTATATTTTTGAGGTCACATTGGAAGTAACACTGAATAATTTATATTTTACAGATAATATCCGAGGAGCATTCTGTGAGTGTGGATACATCAAAAATTCCACCGGCCTCGACTCATAACTTGGAAGTGATAAGTGTTATTACTGATGACATTGTTGTCCCAGCCCAAGATATACAAGTTTGGATTGATCCTCTAGATGCCACTCAAGAATATACAGGTAAGGAAGAAAAAGGTTCAGCAGCTGAGCTTGGTGCATTAATTTGCTTTTACAAACTGTACTGTAGTGGATTATGAGGTAAGTATGTAGAGAATAAAGGTATACTAAATGGTGCTGATTACACAATCACAGATTTGTATAGGTGTAGGAATTATATTCTTGTAGATTAACATATTTGTATGATTTTTTATAGTTTTGGAAACATATCTGTATTTTTTATGTTCCTAAATTTGTCCATATGCAATATTATGAAATGAAAACATACTGTAGCTGGATAAGGCCACGTTGTCAACTTGGTCATCCCTCAAATTAAACCATTGATTACTGGGGAAAATTAAAGTAATCGGTGCATTGAGAAATGTGTGGGGAGGGAAAAACTTTAACAGAGGAATCAAAGATGGGGATGTACAGTTGCAGTCAAAAATAATCATCCACTCCACCACCAACCCCTGTGCCTGGCTGAGTCCTTTCTGCCATTTGTTGGGGGGGGGGGGTGTATGTGGTGCAAGTTCCTCATCAGAGAGGGGGGAATTGGAAGAAAGCAGGAAAATTCATGAAGGAAGGATGGATGTAATTTTTTTTTTCACTACTGGTATATTATCTTGGGTATACATGCTTGAAAGAGTAATAGATGAGGACCCTTATTTTGTGATTATAATTATGTGCCATCCATTTCCTTATTTATCATTTTTTCAGGATGCCATCCAGATTCTAAACAACTGTGGTAATTAGATTGATTGATACGTGTATTGAGATACAAAAGAAATACATCTCAAAGGGATGAAGTGACTTAAGTCATCCCCACCCCAGTTGGTAATTAGATATTTATAATAATAATGTTGATTTGAGGAGAAATATTGAATACTTGTATAAGGGTAGAAATCACATTTGTTTTTAATATTTACTGACACAGTTCATACAGAATCTGAATAGCATATCCACTGTCCTCCTCACCTGTCAGTCATGGTCTCCTCATCCTATAATTATATCAATTATATGAATTAAGAGTTAAAATATGTTTATGTACATTACACACCCAAAATTAGTCATTTTAATACTGTTTGCAGTGTTGTATCAAAAGCCAGCTGGTTTCCCAAGTTCCCAGACTCCTCCCAGTGGGTTAACTAACACCTCACAGTGACCCCAACCTCACTTAAAATTTCTGACACATTGTAGCCAGGTGCGCACAAACCGATAAATTGCTTGTGACTCAACATTCGACGTTCTTTAGCATTCATTCTAGGCTGGGTGTGGAGCAGTGGCCAAACACCATTGCTACTACCACCTCATCACCTCGCATTGATTTTTACAACACATTTTATTCAACAAGCCATTCTTATTTGTTATCACTTACAGTGATTTTTATTTTCAATAACGGTAGTGGAGGGAAGTGGAAGAAATCCATTAACATTTCATTTTTATTTTATTTTTTTTTTCAAGAAGGATAGTGGCAAGTGGTCAAGTAACAGTTTTTTCAGTTAATATTGATTATACTGCATATATTTTTTTTCAAGAAAAGTAGTGGCGAGAGGTGGAAGTGATTAAATAACAGCTGCGTTTAGTGTTACTGGTGGTGAGCAAGTCACACCCCCTCTTCTCTTATATTGTCATACCAGGGGCTTTCCCTCGTGGAAATCAGATGTCCTATCAACAATAATGACACAGTACCTGCCAAAAGCTCACTTGCATTCCTCCCCAGAATCGCCAGTAAAGGCATAGATAACTAAGGGAAAGTCAGATCCATATTTCACCTCCCCGGACACCCAACCTCCTGGTTGGTTTGTTGGTTGCTTGGGCTTTAGGCCTATCAACTGCCAGGATCATTAAGGCTGTCAACATTAAGCTACTTCCAACAAACTTAACACCTTCAGGTGTTAAGGATAATTCTAAGACCACATATACTCCCACTACATATGTGGCCCTAGCCCCCCCCCCCATTAATACCTCCCCTACCCTCTTGTGACCCGTCGTGTAGAAAGACCTTGAGCTTGCGGGTTTAATAGTAGGATGGGTGGATGATTATTTTTTACTACGACTGTTCAGGGGAATCACAAGCTTATATTATATGGATATAAAGTATAGACTGTTGACATAAGAGGGGGCAACAGCAGAAAGGATAGTGGGAGAAATACTGTACAGTAATTCTTTGAAACTTTAACTTAATTGAGTGAGAAATTAATAATACAGTACAGCCTATATTTCCCTCGCAACAGTCAATTTCCTCACATCCCACCTTACTCTTTCCCAGTCAGTCTATGGCACTAAAAACACAGCACAGATTTAAAATCACAATTACAAGGTCTTTTACTGTATTATAGAGCAGGATCTTTTTCTGTATTATAGATTATGATCATTTATTACAGTTGTACCCCACTTAACGCGGTCAATAGAACCCAGAGGGTCCCGTGTTAAGTGAAATCCGCGTTAAGTGAACAACAGAACATATGGGATTAATTCCAATAGAAACCGGCCCGACCCCCAAACTCCACTTTTTGAAGACACATAACTATGTTGTAGTAAAAATAACATCTTAATTTTTTGATGGTACATGCACACAATTAATACTTAAGAGAAATAGAGAAATACAGTCGCCAAGTTAATGTCCATTCAAATAATGGACTCAACTCCCTCCCCCTCTTCTCACACTACACTCCCTGGCTCTTCCCTCTTGAGAAATTTTTGGGGGAAAAACCACTAAATTTTAATAAATAATACCTCAAACTAAAGTTAGGAAAATATAATTGACATTGCTGGATTCCTTGTAAGACCAGGAATATTTTGAATATAAATGTCATATATTTTGCACAAAAGATAACATAGTTACCTAGAGAAAATTTTTTATCTAAAAATTGTAAGTTTAAAGCAAAATATATGATGTTTATATTCAAAATGATCACCAAATTATAAGAATTCCAGCAATGTAAATTATATTCTGGCCGGGTAATTTGTATGAATTTTATGAGCTAAAACAAATATCTTCAGTTAATAAAAAAAAATAATCTTCACGACACTATCTGTCAATCAAAGTACCACACCTTGCCTCCCCCTCTCCCCAGCACGGTCAGTCCCAACCTCCCCCACCAATCATCCCTTCAAGAGAAAGTGGGTGAAAAATTTAGATTTTAACATTTTGTATTAAATAATACCTCAGATTAAAGTTAGGATAATATAATTGACATTGCTGGATTCCTGTAAGACCAGGAATATTTTGAATATAAACGTCATATATTTTGCACAAAAGATAACATAGTTACTCAGAAATTTTTTATCTAAAATTTGTATGTTTAATGCAAAATATATGATGTTTATATTCAAAATGATCATCAAATTATAAAATTCCAGCAGTAAATTATATTCTGACGGGTAATTTGTATGAATTTTATGAGCTAAAACAAATATCTTCAGTTAATAAAAAAAAAAAAATATTCTTCACGGGGTAACAGATGGTCAGTCGGTCGGTCCTCCCTCCCCCCCCACCAACCGTCCCAAGGAGATGTGGGGAAAACCAGAATACTTAACTTTTTGTAATAAATAATACCTCAAACTAAAGTTAGGATAATATAATTGACATTGCTGGATTCCTTGTAAGACCAGGAATATTTTGAATATAAATGTCATATATTTTGCACAAAAGAACATAGTTACCCAGAGAAAAATGTTATCTAAAATTTGTATGTCTAATAAAATATATGATGTTTATATTCAAAATGATCACCAAATTATAAGAATTCCAGCAATGTAAATTATATTCTGGCCGGATAATTTGTATGAATTTTATGAGCTAAAACAGGCAGTCAGGCAGGGTGGCGGGTGGGCAAATCTAAAAATAGCATCTCGAGCCGGACACTCACCGTGTATATGTGGAAAAAATCCGTGTTAAGTGAAAGTTCAGCTCTGGCGAGGCACCGCGTATATAGTACATTAAGTGAAACCGCGTTAGGCGGGGTAATACTGTATAGAGCAGGTTCATTTATTATAAAGCTGGATTATTTATTATAGAGCTGGATCATTTACTATATTATAGTGCTAGCTATATACAATGCTGCATAATAAGATGTCATATTAGGTGAAAACAAAAGTACTGGACAGCATGACCTGACAATTCGCAGTCCTCGATTATATGTGGATGACACCCTGGATGTACCCAAGAATGTCTGCAGGTAGTTTTAAAGTTGCTGGCATTTTCGTGGCTGGGACAGGGAGCCATTCGTTCCCGAGATAGTAATTTCTTTTACTTGTGTGTGTGTGTGTGTGCGCGTGCGTGCATAATACAAATAAAAATAAGTAATACAGGGGCAAACACATAAAGAGAATCTACATTTCTTTGCACACGAGTAAAAATGTACCTCCCCCACCTCCGCCCTGGTCAGCAAATGATATTCGCTGCCATTTTGAGACCCAAACCCCCACAAATTTTTAAGGCATGCTGTACATAAGACTAAATGCCTTATGATCCTAATATAATTGTTTAATAGTGCCAACTGACAGTGTTGAGCATCAAGCCAGTACACTTCATGGCATACTATACTGTACATGGATTTCCTTATCTCGACTCATTTATAATATGGGATTTCCAGGAGCAAACCTTAATTTATGAAGCTGGTTCACACCCATTCATTCAGTCTACCACAGCAGTTTGAAGTTTGATGGTTATAAAGGCTCCATCTAGCACAGTGTAGACAGTCATGTACAGTAAGATCTCATATTTCGCTAGTAGTATAGACTGGAAATATTGGCAAATGTAAATACAGTGAACCCTCGAAAATCCGAACTAAAGAGGCCACCTGTCCGGATTTTCCAGCAGATAATAAATGATATAAGAAACAACAAAAAACAGTACTAATGTAGTGATAAACAAATTACCATATACAAGTTGACAATCTCTTATCCGAAATCCTTGGAGCCAGAGGCATTTCGGATTTTGAATTTCGGTTTTCAGAATGGTTAATTTTTTTTTTTTTTATTAGCCTACGGCACAACTCACTGACCCACATTGGGGCCTGGGTGGCGAAAAATATAATATCAATTATAATAATAATAACAATTCATAGGTCTAGGTAATTGTTTCTCACTTTTATCTTTTCATTCTTGTATTTCTTTATTATTATTATTATTTTATTATTACAGTATTATTGTTATTATTAATATTATTAATTTTATTATTATATTTTATTATTATTATTATTATTATTATTATTATTATTGTTATCATTATTATTTTGGTGTATTTTTTATTAAAATTTTTATTTACTATGAATAATTATTATAATTATTATTACTATTACATTTTCGCCCCCAGGCCCGATGTGGGTAAAAAAAAAAAAAGTTTTGCCCACAAAATTTTTTTTCTCGGTTTTTAGAGCTTTTCGGTTTTTGGAATTTCGGATAAAGGGTTGTCAACCTGTATAAACCATGTATTTACCTATGATAACATAATAAGAAACATTGTATCATTACTAGAGTGAATGAAATAATATTCCCTCAAATAATAATTGTCAACTCTGTTTATGTTTCCCACCTCCTCGGGCACCTGTGTCCAAGCAACTGACAGGTCAAGCAGCGCCCACGAGCCTGAAATGTTCTTTGCTCTGGTTTGGGAATCTTTCTTAGGGAAGCTTCTAGGAGGCTTTTTAGCCCAGAACCCTCAATTATTTTGTCTGGATCTTCCGAAATCTGGATTTCCCAGGTCCGGATCTTGAGGTTACTGTACATAAACTAATGGGAAAAATAACAATATACATTGGCCACTCTACATCAACCTCTGATTTTCCCGTTTATAACCTCCAAATGATACGACTTCTGCCGTTACTGACCTGATTGTTCATCCGGGCAGTCATGAAACTGATTTGAGAAGTGCGTGGCTGCTGCGACTGGCCAGTTACAGCTCACTACCTCAATACAGACGTGCACTTCCCACACATACACCCATGCTCTTCATTTTTCTTATTTTATAGTTTATTGTATATGATAGAACTATAAAATACAGTACTGTACTGTATTGTATATGCATTTTGACATTATTCGACAATTTCCAAATCTTTGTGTTCGATTATTCGTTGATCTTTTGTTCAGATTTTGCACCTTATTCCCATCATTCAAAGATTGTTCCTCAGTATTCCAACCAAAAAAACAGACTTATGCTTCAACATAAAATATTACAGCATTCAGCTGCCTAGATCTCGCATTCAGCTGGCTGGATCTCGCGAAACTCGCGATATTTTACGCCAAATATAAGACTTGGTTACATTAGCTAGTGCTCGCAAAATTCAAAAACGCGAAATGAAATCGGGCGAAATATGAGATCTTACTGTAGATCAAGTCTAATATCCCTGCCAGCCATAAAATACATAGATTGGAAAAATAAAAGTAAGAGTTTGGGAAAAGATGGAAGTAAGAAGAAATCTTAAGTTTTGGTTTGGATTTTATTTGATTTAATTCATTTCTTGATATTTAAATTGTTAGTTTCATTAACCACTCTATTTGTATTATTTTTCCGTATATTAATTTTCTTCCCTCAGAAAACTTGAGAGAATATGTGACAACGATGGTATGTGTGGCAGTGAAAGGCCATGCAACAATTGGAGTTATTCACAAACCATTTAGCAAGTTCACAGCTTGGGGCTGGGCTGGGAAAGGTGTATCCCCACAGCTTCAAGCATCTGTATCCCAAGTTAGTGTAGTTTTATCCATGAATTTTATATTTTGTTGGTGTGTAAACCTGAATTATGGTCCATGTGTTAGTGTAACAATGACCTTAACTAACTGGGCTTTAACACTGCCCAGTACTCCTTTACTTAACTACCTAACTTTTGCTTTACAAGAATACTTATATTCCTCTTATCTTTTATCACCACCTGATTGTATTAAGTGATGTTCTTCTCCATTAATGCTATTTGAACCTGTCTCTTACTGTACTTCAATTGATTTCAAAATACCCTACTGTGTCCTTTCATTACCCTGTGGATCATCAGTAACCAAAACATTTTTAAGAACTTTTCTGTAGGTGTCTGCTTGTGTAAAATTAGTATAATTGTTAGGGATTGGTAAAAAGTTTTGTCATACAGCTATAAATAGTGTATATACCAGGTCTGACATGGTTTGTTTCATTTAAACAGGGTGGACCAAAAGATGAAATTGCACACATCATTGTCTCTCGCTCACATGCTGGGGAAGTAGAAAGTGTGGCCAAGGCTGCATTTGGAGACAAAACTCAAGTGATTCATGCCGGTGGAGCAGGTAAGTGTTCATAATGAAAAATATTAAATTATTTTAATCCTGTCTCATTTTATTACCTTCCTACAGTGGTTGGTATTATTAACCCTCTCATGGTTTTTCAATGCAGATTGCATCTTGCTCCTGTACTGACATGACCCCTCCTGTTCAACTGTATCTCTCACTGAGAGCTCCCCTCCCTTAATAAAAAATGCAGGAGGAACAGTGGACTGACCCTATCACCTATCTAAGTTCCCCTCATTAGCCACTTGGGCTGGTAAATGCATCTCTAAGGGTGCAATTTAGGTCTGGGTCAATCTACCCAATGTTTACTAAAATGGAACACCTTTCCTGTTACCAATGCAGCATGCAATGAAAGACAGGCTAGGGGGTGAGATTGTAAGTGATGTTACTTGTGTCAAAAGACTGCAAGAAATACCAGAGGATTAAATAAAGGATTTTTTACCAAATAGGTGAAGAAGAGGTGAGAGTGAAGTTAGTTGCAAGCTGCAGTATTTATTAAAGCTTTTATTTTTCTGTTACATTCATTAAATAAACAATATGCATTAGGGTGATAATTAGTTGCACTGAATTATAATAAGATAAACTAGTGGAGGTATAGAGGCAGGACTGAGAGTGAAGAAGATAGTTTGTGTGTGATAGATGCCTGTTTGGAAGAGAATGCTTTTATCCATAGTGGTCTATGTTATTCAGAGACTGTCAGGCACACTGCTGTGTATGGGGAAATTGTTTACAGTAATCCCCAGAGCTACAGAAGGGATGCATCCTTGAAAAGTTGACTGTAACATGAGATTCTTAAATGTGAACCCCATTTTCCCCCACTTACTTCCATTACACAGTTGAAGATGCATTCCTGAAGAAAATACACATTTTAAAAAACACATACTGTACCTGTACATGGATTATTCTATGATATAATATTAAAAATACACAAAACACTTGAATTTAATTTACCATAAATGATGTCGAGTGCTGCGAGAGGTGAGGTAGTGCAATGGGAGTTGTTGGGAGACATAGCATACCCTAATGTTTTTGCAATCTGGCTAAGTATTTCTCCCACATCTAACCTCCATAAAATAATCAAGTTTTATATTCAACGTAAATCCTTCATGGACTCTTTTAGCACCATTGTTTTCACTTGCATTTGATGGCCTCTTTCCACTCATCTTGAATGAGGGTAATGCACTGGACATACTTGATTAAGATATGTACGTAAGTGTTAAATCCAAGAGCTGGGGTCGTGAGATCAAATGTACACACTGGGGGATATAAACAAACTGAGTTCAGCGGCATGAGATCACTGCATACCCACGCTTGGTGGTATCAAACATCAAGAAATTCATAATAAATAAATTTTAATATCTATAAAAAAAATTTCTTCCATACCGTGAGTTTTTTGTTGAAAAATTTGAAAATTTATCCCATATCCGTAAGGTCGAAGTTATTGGCCATATCCCAAATTTAGTGGTCATAATTTACAAATTCCCCATGGTTGAATTTCCACTACAGGGAGTTCTGCTTATACAGCGTGTTTGATACGGCAATTTGCTCTTGATTTATGAATTGAACAATATTTGTATACTTCTGAACGCTTGTTTGCTATAACAGCGATTTTTGCTTACTATTTCTCCAATTTTGTGGTATTAACTGTGAATATGGTAAAGAAGAATATCTCCAAAAGTGTTCTGATGATAGAATTCCGGTTGATTATCGTAAAAGAAAGGATATAACACTTGAAGAAGCTCGATGTTATCAACCTCAAAATCACCCTTCCCCCATCAAATTACATTCATATTTTTTCAAGGTAAAGTGTTAAATTTACTGTATGATTTTATTATTAGATATGAATGTAACATTTATTTAGACTGTGCTATCCTTTGTGTTAGGCTAACTACTAAATTTTTTCGATTTCGAGTAATCTGCACCTAACCCTATTTTCTCCATAAGCCCTGTTATTTCTATTACGCGATTTTCTATAACACGATATTTTACAAGAACACAATTATCGCGTTATAGCAGAACTACCTGTACTTGAATTTCTGTAACATGGGGGATACCTGTAGAAAATAGGTTTGTAGCAGAGCACAGATAACTAACATAGTTTTGAGTAATGAGTATCAGAGTTTTACAACTATAAAATCCCACAATGTCATCTGTTATTAACATAACTGGTTCAGTTATGTTTGACAGTATTTTGTTTATATTTTGGTGTAGATTTTGTGCGTGATACACTGACAAGCCTACTCTACTAATAAATACAGGTACACCACCAATTATCTGGGAACTGATGGTCTGAACAAAATTATGAGGGGGCACCTAACTTCCCTCCCTACCTCCTAGCTTGGGTGAAGCTAGTTTTAGGTTTAAAGTTTTTATCTTATAAGTTGTAGCTGACTAGACTTAGCAGAACATAAATTGCATTGCTGGAATTCTTGTAAGATAGGGATTAATTTGAGTATAAACATCACATAGTTTGCACAAGAGATAGAAATTTTAGTCTAGAGTAGTACATTTGTGTACAATTTTTTTAACTCATATTTTCAGGAAGATATATGTAACTTTCTTCATTTATTTTTACTCATAGACATGCACACACCATCCTAAATATATACAGGAGTATTGTGAAAAAAGTAAAAGAAATAATTGCCCTAAGGGTAAATCTGTAATAAGTTAATTAATAAAAATTTTATGTCTAATGCAAACTTTGGGATGTTTATACTCAAATTAATCACAATCTTACAAGAATTACAGCAATGCAAATTATATACTGCCAAGTCAATTCTGTGACATTTTATAAGGGAAAAACTAAAACTCTCTGTTTTCAACCTCCTTGACAGCTGTCAACATGTCAATGCCCCCTCCACCCCCCCTCCAACAGCCAGGGTGAAGGCAGTTTAGGCTTAAAGTTTTTATCTTATAAAATGTCACTGACTAGACTAAGCAGAATATAAATTACATTGCTGGAATCCTTGTAATATAGTGATTAATTTGAGTATAAACATCATATAGTTTGCACTAGACATAAAGTATTAGTCTAGTGTAGTAGAGTACATTTGAGTGCAAAGTGTGTACAGTAGTGTTACTCAAAATTATGGCTTTTTCACATCTAATTTCATTTAAGATTTGTTTAATTTAAGTTTCTAGCAGTCCATGGTGCTTTGGAGATGCAGGAGGTTTATAATTAGTAGGTCAGAGGTGTATTGTTGAATTATTATTACCTGACCTCGGTTGGTCCGGCAAAATGGATAATCCTTTGGAACCAAGGGTGCCGGAAAATTGGTGGTGTTCTCGTATCACCAATGTTCAATAAAAATATATTTTTACATGTTACATACTTACAAATACAGGTGAGGCTCTCCCTTATGCTTTGTATGCTTCCGTGATATCCCTGAGGGGCCATGCCCACATTTCACTAAGTGAGGAATTAATTTTTTAGTTACAAAATGTCTATTTTTTTTATGAAAACAGTTTTAAAATGCATAGCTGTGAACAAAACATGGCACAGAGAAATGTGTGGACAAGAATAGGGTGGCATCTCCATGCTGATCGGCTGAGAGGGAGAGTGTGTGGGTCAGCCACTGTTTCCATTGATCACACCTGGGGCCACAGCTGAGGTGTCGAGACCGTCTTTGCTACACTACCCTATACAGTAAAACCCTGCTAAGGCGGACTAATTGGGGATAAGAGATTGTCCACCTTAGAGCTATTTTTTCCCAAAAGACCGCCATTTTAAACATTAAGCAGTACAACACCAATGTATCCAATTTTTATAAAGAAATACATGTTTTTAATCAAAATTAATTTAAAAAGTAATGGACATAAAGTACTGTACACTTACTTTTAGTTCACTGATAAGGTCTTACCCTTAATCTTCTCATCACCCTTATGGATACCAAACACTTCCCTAGGGGTCATGGTTATTGTTTAATTTTTCAATAATAATGCAAAGAATATAAATGCTACTTCAGCCTACGGTGAATGTATTAAATATATAAAAACGAAAAATAATGACATAAAAAACACCAAAAATACAATACAGTACCGTATTTTATGGTAGGGAACATTTAAGAAAAAAATTTTGTGTGCATTTTCCTCCTGTGGCCATAGTTTTCTTAATATACTATACAGTACAATAGAACATCGATTTAAAGCGATTCAATTTAAGATTATTGATTTAAAACGACACCTACAATTAAGGACAATGTTTTAATTTAAAGCAAATCTTTCCTATTTTGCAGATAAATCTGGTGATCATATTTAAAATTTTGCACCTAATGTTTCTCTGGGCACGCTACACTGTCCTAAGGGCAAAGCTGTACTGTACATGTACTAAAAATAATGTACTAAATGATTACTAAAATGTTTGTCTAGTGTAAACTATAGCATGTTTCTATTCAAATTAATCACTATCTTAAAAGAATTCCAGCAATGTAAATTATATTCTCCCCGGTTACTTTTGCGACATTTTATAAGCAAAAATCATAAACTCAAGCTAAAGGACATAAATAAACAAATAAATACTTCTCTAGACCTTTGGTGCCAACTGTCAAACATGTCACTGTCACTTCCCTCCCTCCCTCCCTCCCATCTTCCCAGCCAGGGTTTGGTGTTTTAGGCTTAAAGTTTTTATCTTATATAATGTCACAGACTAAAGTTAGGAGAATATAATTTGTATTGCTGGAATTCTTGCAAGACAGCGAATAATTTGAATTTAAAAGTCATATATTTTGCACAAGAGATAAAAAAAAATTATCGTTGTACAGTAGAAGTCCAAAAATCCGGACTGCTTGGGGATTGGGTCAGTCCGGATTTTCAGATTTTCCGGATTCTCAGGCAGTACTTTTAAAATTCAAATTTAAGGAGGAATAAAGAAGAGATTAACAGGTACATTTTGATAGTTTATTCATTAGCAAATATAGCATGCTTCATTTATCAAAACGAGCAGTTTTAAAGAAAAAGCTGTGAATTCTAGAATTTTATTCTTTGCCTTTTATATCATAAATTGTAGACTTTCCATTGTCATATGTTTCCATTAGAACAGTATTGCTCACACCACGTTCTAGTTTCTTAATTATTTCAAGTTTGTCACCAATTTCAATGTATTCTTCTTTCTCTTCACACATCAAGTTTATCTACTGAGCCATTATTATGGGCTTGTACAGTACTCTGTAAATGGAAAGAGTAGGACTCAAAATTACATATGTTGTCACAGTTTGATTGCTTGTTTTAAAGTGGTGACCACGTGGTCGCTTGTTGTCGCTGTGCAGCTGTGGCGCTCACGACACATACACACAAAAGCCCGCTAAAAAAAAAAGTTTGACTTTTCGAAAAGTCCGGATTCTCAGGTGGTCCAGATTTCTGGCCTCCGGATTTTTGATTTTACTGTAATAAAATCCTTAAATTAGAACTAAAAATTTTTATGTCTAATATGAGCTATGGCATGTTTATATTAAAATTAATCACTATCTTATAAGAATTCCAGTAATGTTAATTATATTCTTCCATGTCAGTTCAGTGACATTTTATAAGAGAAAAACTTAGTCACTCTTTAGGACAGATAAATAAATAAGCACTAGACCTTGGCATCAACTGTCAAACATATCACCTCACCTCCCTCCCTCCCCCCCCCCATCTTCCCAGCCAGTTAACAGACCATTTCACATCCCTTAATTTTAGCTGTGTTGATTTATGAGTGTTTGTTTTAACATAATACTACAAAAAACAATGTTTTGTTTATTCTAGGAGATGGGCTGAGGTGCATCTGGGTAGACTCTCACGCTTCAAAATCTCCCTTGAAGAGAGTATTTGAAAGTTAACTAAATGAGTCATGAGGACAGTGCAGTACATTACTTAGCAGTGGTGTGGCGGTAGATTTACCAATTCCAATTACATTAATTTATAATATTGGAATTTTTAATTACCACACCACCCTGTTAAATACAGTACTGTGGTATCCCTCAGGACTCATTTAGTTTAAAACTCGGGTTGAAATCGACGACCCTCTTCAAGGGGAGATGTTGTTTAATAACTGCGTCAGTCATTTTAGTATTTTGTGTTTCTCTCAAGTACCAAACTAAATTATTCCATTGAAACAACACTTCAATTTAGTGCGAATTCGGTTTAAAGCGACCTCTCTTGGAACGTATCTCGTGTTATATGGACGTTCTACTCTACTGTATACAGTACCAGGAAATGTGAGGAATAAATAAAAATAATACCCCAAAAAATACAGTATCGCCAAATAAGTAAATAAAAGCCAAATAAAAGTTCAACACAGCCAGTTTGCACATTACTCCCTGTTTCACCATAGTAACGAACATCGGCTGGCACTCCAACCTTAGCAATGCCCCCCTTTACACTTTGCAATCATCTTCCCCTCCCTCACTCAGCCAGCTAACTCTTGTGCAAAGAAATGTATATTCCTTTTATGTGTTTGCCTTTAGGACAATTATTGCTTTTAATTTTTTCACAGTATGAGTAAAAATAAATGATGAAAGTTACGTATATCTACCCAAAAATACGAGTTGAAAAACAACCATAACACCACAGCTTGGCCCAGTAGCCTGGTGGTTACAGTGACTAGTTTAACCTGGCAACAATGCCATGATTAGTCACTATTAAACACTATTATATCAGGAAACACGAATAATAACAGTAAATCCAGTGAAATATGGCAGGGGAGGGAGGAGGAGAGACACAACTGCAGACGACGCTTTAACTGGCGCTCACTCGCTCCCGTTGCCAGGCGTCGCGATCGAAATACTTATGAGAGAAATACATATCTTGTAATCTAATTTGAAAACAGTGATGGGCACAGTGATAAACAAATTATATAAACCATGCATTTACCTATGATAACATAACAAGAAACATTGTATCATTATTAGAGTGAATGAAATAGTATTCCCAAAAACATCAATTGGTAATTCTCAGACACCTGTGTACCACGTGTTGATGCCTTGGTCCCTTGAAATTTTGCTGACATGTCATTGAAGGACAAATTTTGTCCCTTTTCTTTATTATTTTTAAGAAAATAATTTTGTCCGACAAGCGATATCCATGTTAGCAGGGTTCGCCTTAACAAGGTTTTACTGTATTTCAATATCCAGCCAAGGAGAGCAGAGACGAACTCACCATATGATGTGTACACAGATCGAAAGATAAAGCCTGGGAAATTTTAACACTAGAAAACATTTTCAAAGGGGTGGCAAGTTTGTCTGTGCTATGCTAGATGTCTCATATACAGTTTAGTAAATAGGGAAGACATAATAGTAGTAAATGGGCTTGAAATTTAAATATAACCTTTAATAAGCAATTAATAATTTGTAATCCTCTTCTAGGCTACAAGACTTTGGCAGTCATTCAGGGAGATGCAGATGCTTATGTCCATGTAACTTTGATCAAGAAATGGGATCTCTGTGCTGGAAATGCTGTTCTCAATGCTCTCCATGGTAACATGACAACATTAAGTGGGCAATCAATAGACTACAGCTCGAATGAGAGAAAAAAGATAGAGGGGCGTGTTGGCCACGCTGCATGGCCACAAATACTATTTACCAAAACTACAAGGCCTCAAAAAGAATATCTCTAATTAAAATACCTATAAATATGCAATACTTTTAATACTTTATTTATTAAAATCTAAGAAATTTATTTTGGTAAACTATTTCTGTTTGTTTTTAATTAATGTTATTTATTTCTATGAGTAACTTTACATGTATGACTTTTCTTCTGGGTCTGAGCAATTGAAATGTACTTGTACTTATGAAGGTTCCCATTTAGTAGTCTTGACTCAAGAAATTTATACTTTACATTGACACACTGTACGTGTGGTCTAACATGGAATTGTAAAAATAATAATGTAATGGATCTATTGAATTGGAAGCCCATCAGAGTACTGAAGTGTATTGAACAGTAATAAGTGTTAGCTAAGCACAAGTGTGCCTTACTCAAGTAATTATCCTTGGTACTTGACATTTAGACCAACATTTGGACGTCTTCAGCTAGTGTTGCTTGCATTGCTTCCTTTGTTAGCTACTGAAGGTGTGAAGATTCTATTTGGTGGGAAAAAAGGTATCAACGATAATACTGGACAGTACAGTCTGAAGAGCTCAGACTGGTAAGGCTTGAGAGACTACAAGGTTATCTGTATGTTATGAATATACATTACATTTAAGAGCTCAAGTATAGTATGTAACTGAAATTAACTCTTCCTCCAGGTTCATTTAGTATGTACCAATAAGCTAAATATATGAGATATTTTTCGTGAGTCAGAATTTAAAAAAATGGTGAACATGAGAGTGCCAGCATCCATTAAGTTACTTGTCAGGTTGTAATTATAGTGAAAATTGTGCATATGGCCTGAACTGCCAAAAAGACTACATTCAGCTCTTCACCATGGTAGATGAATAATATGTTTTGTACTTTTCCTTTGTACAGCCAAAGGGTTACAAAGAGATCTCTGGTTTGTAAACAATAATCATATCAACAGTTGTTTTACAAGAAGGAACAAGACACAGTGTTTTACCAACATATACAAAAGCTTCAACTGATGGAATGGTTCATTATGGTTTTGGTCATCTCTCTCTCAGTTACCCAGTCATAGACCAGTTAACAGTATCTTGATTTGCCTCACAAATCATAGCTCCTGGAGTTAATAATGTACACCCATATTTATGTGACATTTTGTATTCTTATTTCCAATTGTTCCTCTATTCTTGTTATGATGTTCCAATCAAGAATGAAGAAATCTTTATTAGTTTCTTGAGCAGCTCCTAAGGGAAAAGACATGAACATGTATTCAGTACTGTACTATACCACAGTGGATGTGAAGGTGGTTCTGCCAGACCATGTGGTAAGTGGTAATTTAATGTTTTATTCAGTTGTTAATGTTTTTTCATCATTTTTTTTTTCAAAATGCTATTATTGTATGGTGTGTGTGTGTGCGCATGTGTGTGCATGCGTGCGTGTGTGCATGCGTGCGTGCTCGTTTGTTCGTTCGAAAAAGTAGGACAGTTATTGAAGGAAAAAATTCCCATAAAATTAATGGAATAAGCAGGGAGTGCCTAGTAATGTAATCTTTTCACACATGATATTTTACAACAGTATTACGATGTGCATATCCTCGGTAAGCTTGATGCAACTGTACACTTATTATTAAGTGTGACTAAAACAAACAAATAAGCAAGATGCTCCATTACCAGTATGTAGTTGCAGATTTACAGTTACACATCTTAATACATTTGGTGGGTTTTAATTAAATATAGTAGTTTATGAAATATATTAATAATTTTTGATAAAAATGTGCTTGCACAGAAATATTAGTGTATGTGCGTGTGTGTATCTTATGCATGGGTGTAGGTGTATGCTACTATGTTTAAAATGAATGAAAGTGTGTTGTCTGTGTGTTGAGGAGAAAGGAAGTGTATGAGTGGTGGTGTTCTTGGGGGTCCTGACCTGACACACTGCTGGTGGAATGTATTGTGGTGTTTGGGTGGGTGTTGGATTGTGTATGGTGTTGTGTATGGTGTGCATCCTTCTCTACCCTGTTCAACATTTACTCACTGTCTGCTGTCAAGTCCACTTTCACCTTTTGCTCACTCATCATTCAAGTTTGAGAAGGAAATGTTGCAGAGTAAATTTTAATAAATTTTATTGTGATACTGTTATTTAATTATTTATCATACTATCTATTAATATTTTGCTTCGTATTCCCTCTTTATGGCTAGATGATTACAGTACAATATTCCAAAAAAGTTACATAAATCAATTGGGGTCTACAGTAGTCAGTTGGACTGCACTTGAAATCACTGAAAGTGAAACAGCCTAGTTTCTGAAGTTAGAGTAAGTAAAGATGTACAGTAAATGCTGTAATTTACATTCCATTTTTCTCCCAAGTGCGATATTCTGGATTATATCAATGTGGCATCAGAGGAATTTGGCTACCTCATCATTGATTCATGAACAAAGGATAAATTTCTGGAACAGTCTGATAAGATTAGTTGTTATCTAGTTCTATGTGGAATCAGTATTAATAAGTGTTACCTTACCCATGATATGTATACCTATACAAAGCATGGGTTTCCACTATTGTTGTCATTAAGGTAAAGTCAAGGAAGCTCGTATGTTCACTGGATCATGACCTACAGTATTGTCTCACTGTGACTCAGATCTTGCCATCCCAGTTGCTGTGCTGAAGTAGTTGTGGAATTTTCTTCTAATGTCATTGTACAGTACAGTATTCAGTTTCAGTAAATAATGAAAATTTATGTCAATGGTGCTTGGGAACCATGCAAAATAAAAAAATGCAATGTTAGAATCTTCATGTTGGTTCACTGCTGAGTCTAGGTGGTCAGGAGGATCCAAAACAGTAAAGGTTTAAAACCATTGGATTAGATCATCAGTAATTCTTTATCCTGGAATTTGAGCAATACTTTCCCAAGCAACAGAACAGAATAACTTAATGACTACAGTGGGGTATGCTATAACGAATCTAATTGGTTCTAGAACCTTGTTCGTAATAGCATTCGTTCGTTATAGGATTAATCCGTTCCAGGCCCCCAAATACAACCACTTAACACTGAAAAATATAATATAGAATTGTAAAATTTTTAAAAAAGTGCATAAATATGCATCTAAACCCCTGAAATAAAGAATATCATTAATACTTGTAATAAAAAAGACAATAAATTAGTTAAAAAAAAAAAAAAAAAATTGTTTTAGGAGTTTCGTTCGTTATAGCATTCTCAATTTTATAGGTAAAACCGTTCGTTATAGGAATATTCGTAGTAGAATCCATTCGTTATAGCATACCCCACTGTATCTATTTATTTGCTAAATCTTGGGGCATGTTGTGTATATAAATGCTATTTTTCTTATACAGTGGTCCATCAGTTAACGAACACAATTCGTTCCACAGAGTCGTTCGTTAACCGAATCCATTATTTCAATGGGATATTGGGTAATTGGTTCCAACTCACAGAAAAATACATACAAAGTAAAGCCAAAAATGCATAAAGTCAGAAACACTCCTGAGACTATCATAAAATAGGCACCCTAACTGGATGTTGCTCAAGAGACATGGTGTACTGTGTTGAAGGATATGCATCTATGGTACATGCACTTACATGAAATCAGTTTTTTAAATGGATAGAGGAGTTAGTTCTCACTGTTAATTGCTTACTCCAAAGAAAAACAATGCTGCTGTGTTTACTAGACTTCATGTATTTCATCACTGTGTTAGCTACTGTAGATACAATGTTGTGAAGTATATCTGCAGTTTTAAGCATACATATACACAGTAATATTGAATTAGATAAAACTAATTACTATCTTGGAACCTATATTATTTTTGATGACTTTGATATTCTCAGACCTACTGTATATGTTGTCCATGTTACAGTACAAGGGTTATTCAATACTGTCTCCACGAATATTTTTATTATTACAGTAAGTCCTCGTTTAACGTTGCCCCCGACAATGTTGTTTCGTTATAACGTCGCTACTCTTTAGATACCCATGATTCGGACAACGTCCCACCGATTCGGTATAACGTCATCACGGTCTACTTTGTATGGCGCATCACCTCTCACCCAGTCAGAGCGGGAGGAGCCGCCACCCTCCGGGTCTCAGTGACTCGCCACCTTCCTCCTCTCCCACCCTCCTCTTCTCCCACCCTCCTCCTCTCCCACCCTCCTCCTCTCCACTACCCACCACACACTCGCTCCACCTCCGTCCATCAGTGAGTACAATACAAAATGATTTAGTTTACAGGAGCTCTTCTACTTATGAACGAGTTATGTTCCTCAGGCTTGTTTGTAAGTCCATCTTTACTCTTGTAGATACCAAACATATTGTAAAAAATGAAAAAATTATGGATATTTAGTACAGTTATACCCTTTAATACAGCCTTAAAACCTGGCTCACTCTTCTCTTCTTAGGTAATGTTTGTTCTATCTGGAATTTTCTTCAAAATAATCCAGTCTCATCCACATTAAACACCTGTTCTGGCAGGTAACCCTCCTCAGTGATGATGTTTGTATCTCTGAAAGTTTGTAAGTTGAATGTTCTTAAGTAGAGAAGCACCTGTATATATCTTTTTGGATGTATAATATATACTACTTTCTATAAAAATTCAATATAATTTATGTATATGTAATGTATTTTATGGGGCAAAGGGAGGCTGGGGAACGTAACTCCTGTATTTTATCTAGTTTCTTATGGGGGAAATTTATTCCGTTAACGCCGCGGTTTTCAGGAATGGAACCACTACGTTAAGCGAGGACTTACTATATTTACTAAATAATTGCAATATGGAAAAAAGTTAATATAAATGTTTTAATGTGTTTTATAAGTATTATGTTAATGGTCATTGTCACCTTTCATGTGATGGAATTTCTCAGCATTTTAAACTGCTGAAAATTTTCTTCAGTTGCAGGATTAAAGATGATGATCATTGAGGCTTCAGAATATGAAATAATATATGTTATTAGGATTGTTTTTATATTATAAATGTATTTTAGGTACATATATTACTTAATGCTCTGTGTTTAGAATTTCTTATAACCCACAATTGTTATTTTGTGCTTTTAGAGGTGTGTATAAATTAGTTTATTTTTTTATGTGTGTGCTCTTCATATTGCTACACTGGGCGATTGTCATACTGTACAGTTAACCCTCACTTTACGCGGTTAATGTAACCCGGAGGGTACCGTGGAAAGCGAGAAACGCGTAAAGTGAATAACATAACATATGGGATTAATTGAAATGGAGTCCAGGCCGATCCCCAAACTCCACTTTTTGACGACACATAACTATGTTGTAGTAAAAATAACATCTTAATTTTATGATGGTACATGAACACAATTAATACTTAAGAGAAATAGAGAAATACAGTCGCCAAGTTAATGTCCATTCAAATAATGGACACGACTCCCTCCCCCTCTCACACTACACTGCTGGCTCTTCCCTCTCTGAGAAATTTTGGGGGGAAAACCAGGTATAGTAATAAATAATACCTCAAACTAAAGTTAGGATAATATAATTGACATTGCTGGATTCCTTGTAAGACCAGGAATATTTTGAATATAAATGTCATATATTTTTCACAAAAGATAACATACTTACTCAGATTAAACATTTTATCTAAAAATTTTATGTCTAATGCAAAATATATGATGTTTATATTCAAAATGATCACCAAATTGTAAGAATTCCAGCAATGTAAATTATATTCTGGCCGGGTAATTTGTATGAATTTTATGAGCTAAAACAAATATCTTCAGTTAATAAAAAAAAAAAAATATTCTTCACGACACTATCTGTCAATCAAAGTACCCCACCTTGCCTCCCCCCCTCTTCCAACCGCGCGGTCAGTCCCAACCCTCCCCCCCACCCCCCACCAATCCTCCCTTCAAGAGATGTTGGGTGAAAAATTTAGATTTTAACATTTTGTATTAAATAATACCTCAGATTAAAGTTAGGATAATATAATTGACATTGCTGGATTCCTTGTAAGACCAGGAATATTTTGAATATAAACGTCATATATTTTGCACAAAAGATAACTTACTTACTCAGATTAAACATTTTATCTAAAAATTTTATGTCTAATGCAAAATATATGATGTTTATATTCAAAATGATCACCAAATTGTAAGTATTCCAGCAATGTAAATTATATTCTGGCCGGGTAATTTGTATGAATTTTATGAGCTAAAATAAAAATCTTCAGTTCATAAAAAAAAAAAAAAATATTCACACGATAACAGATGGTCGGTCGCCGGTCCCTCCCACCCCCCACCAACGTCCCTACTAGATAAATGTGTGGGAATACCAGACTTTACCTTTTTAGTAATAAATAATAAATCAGACTAAAGTTAGGATAATATAATTGACATTGCTGGATTCCTTGTAAGACCAGGAATATTTTGAATATAAATATCATATATTTTGCACAAAAGATAACATATTTACTCAAGAGTAAACATTATATCTAAAATTTGTATGTCTAATGCAAAATCTATGATGTTTATATTCAAAATGATCATCACATTGTAAGAATTCCAGCAATGTAAATTATATTCTGGCCGGATAATTTGTATGAATTTTATGAGCTAAATTAAAAAAAATTATACTTCACCGTGTAAAGGGGTACACCCACCGCGTATTGTGAGCATCCTGGGTTCTGGCAGGGCACTGCATAAACGTGGAAACGCGGAATGTGGGACCGCGTAAAGTGAGGGTTGACTGTATATGTATTGAGAGTTACGGATTTATAATTATTTTTTTCCAATGTATTTGTTGTCAGAATTCCAAATAAAATTTTATAACATTGACAATATAATGATTATGACAAATGTTTTATTTTCCTTTAATTTGATGAAGCTGACTTTATTTATAGATATCAAACGCACATTAAAAGACACTTTATATAAAAACAGCACCATTATGGTGCCTATAGACTTTCTCTTAAAGTTATAAGTAATAGAAAATACCGGTATGAGTCAGCGTCGAGACTACTATTTTAAAGAGTTTCTCCACGTGGGTTTGATTCCCAAACTGACATTGTGCATTGCAGTTGATTCCAGTTCACCCTAGTTCATTTACCAAATTAGTGCTTTTCTACCATTCTCAACATCATTACTGGTTGTACACTTAAAAG